GCCACTGGCACCCCACCCCCTGTCCGCGCTCCCCAGACCCCACTCCCCTCTCCCCAGCTACAGAACTCAGTCCCCACTCCCATCCCCACTCCCCAAACTCTGTCCCCACTCCCCGAACTCTGGCACCCTGTCCCCTGCTGCAGAACCCTGTCCTCTGCCCTCCCAGCACCCTGTTCCCTCTCCCCTGCCCCCAGCGGCAGAACTGTCCCCACAAAATGTATAATTCTAAATGCTTCCTTTTAGATTTAAATAGCATGAATAAAAACCAGACCATTTATTTCATAACTATAAACATGTGATTTTAATTTTATACATCGCATAATTTAAAAATAAACTTTATCAGAGTGTGTAGGTAAGGGCTGGGGATAGCAAGTGATGGACAGGAGGAGAATAGAGAGGGCGGGGCTTCAATGAAGGGGAGGGGCTTCAAGGAAGGGGCGGGGCGATAGATCTTCGCCTGTTCTGAAATTTAAATAGTGATCCTGGGTGTAAAAAGGTTGGAGACCACTAATCTAGACCAGTGTTTCCCAATCAGGGTTTTGCGGACCATCGAAAGGGGTTCCGCGAGAAATCGTGGAATAAATAAATAAAAATGTTTTTTCTTACAATGTAAGCTGACATCATATCTATAGTAGCCCAATGTCTGTGACTCTGTAACGCTGAAACGCTGGCTGTTCCCTCTGGGTGGCGCTGTTGTCTCCCGCCATGGCACCAGGGGAGTAATTATTTTGAATGACCTGGGGGAGGAGCTATCATATATAAAGTAGCCCAATGTCTGAGATTTTGTAATGCTGAAACACTGGCTGTTCCCTCTGGGCAGTGCTGTTGCCTCCCGCTGTGGTGCTTGGCTGACTTCCGCACCACTCAGCCAGGCCACCGCGTGGGAGCAAGCAGCCGTTTGGGCCCCACGCTCCCCATGCAACACATCCATGCTGCATGTGGAGCGCGGATCCCAAACAGCCGCTTGCGTTACTTGCTCCCACACAGTGGCCCGACTGACCAGCACAGAAGTCAGCCGAGCACCACGGCAGGAGGCAACAGCACTGCCCAAAGGGAACAGCCAGGGGGTGGGGCCTGGACGAGCGTGCGTCTCTGATGTCAGGAAAGGGCACCGGATTCAAAAGGAGGAAAGAGGAGCAGACACAGAGGACGCGGAAGAGACAGAGGGGAGAACAGAGGAGGCGGAGGGCAGTGAGAGGGAGTGAGAGAGATGCGGCAGCAGGAGGAGAAGAGACACACAGAGTGAGAGGCAGGAGGGGGAGGAGAGAAGGAGAGAGAGAGAGAGGAGGCAGATGAGAGCTGAGAGAGAGGGCGAGGCAGTAGAAGGAGAAGAGAGAGGCTGGTTGTGAAATCAGCTGAGCGCCACGGTGGGAGGTGAAGGGGGGTGCAGCCCAGAGGGCGGGGCCTGGACGAGCGTGCATTCCCGACAGAGACAGAGGAGAGCAGAGAGAGAGTGAGAGGCAGAAGGCGGAGGAGAACTGAGAGAGACGGGGAGGCAGGAGGAGGAGAGACAGACAGACAGACAGAGTGAGAGACCGGAGGCTCAGGAGAGAAGATCAACATGGAGGAGAGACCTGAAAATCCAGTCTTATGACGGGCTAATTGGCTAGTATATATATAACAGCTCTTTATAAATACATTTGCTTGACAATCGTTTAGCAGTAATTGAATTGCGCTCCTTGCTGTCAACTTTTTCTGGCCCAGCAAACATTTTCATAGGTTCCTCGGGATATGAAGAATTATTTTAGGGGTTCCTCCATGGGAAAAAGGTTGGGAATCCCTGATCTCGATGGTGCTTGGTCCTGCCGTGAGGGCAGGGGACTGGACGCGATGGCCTCTCGAGGTCCCTTCCAGTGCTAGTGTTCTGTGATTCTGTGCAAGGAAGGGCCGGGAGTCAGAGAGCCTGGGTTCTATTCATAAGAACATGAGAGGCTGCACTAGGGCAGCCCAAAGGTCCAGCTAGCCCAGTGCCAGATGCCCCAGAGGGAGTGAACAGAGCAGGGAATCCTCATGCGATCCCTCCCCCGTCACCCCGACCAACAGGCTAGGGACCGTCCCTGCCCATCCTGGCTAATCGCCAGTGATGGACCTGACCTCCATGAACCCTGCTCTTTTTTGAACCCTGTTAGTGTGGGCTCAGTTCTGCGGCTTTGGGGAGTTTGGATTGTGGCTGCAGCTGGAGGCGGATCAGTCCTCCCCTCCCCCCCCACC